ATTTTTTCACCTTGTTCTTTTTTTAAAATACTTCTGATAGTACTATAATTCTTGGGTTCCATAGTAGATCTGATGTAGATGAGTTTCATATTATTATTTTTGTATAGGGATAGTTCTATATATCACTTAAGATAACAAATGGGATATTATAAAATTGATAATTATAATCACATTACAAATGACTAAATTTTGATCCCTGAAATCCTTGGTAACACCAATGTTCACTTTGTCTGGTTTTGTTGCAGTATGCCCCATATCATTCATGAAAATATAGGGAGCAATTTTCTCACTTTGTTCTTTTTTCAAAATGCTGTAATTCTTTGGTTCCATGGTGGATCTAATGTGAGTTTCATGTTAAATCATCAAATTATATTGAACTCTAAAGTCCTTGGTAGTACAATGAATAAATAAAATATTAATATTAATGTTAAATTTTTTATTTACAATTCTTTGTTGTACAGAAAACGTGCCCGTGTCGATCATATAGCAAAAAATCTGTGAATTCTCGTATATATATATTTTTGAAGGATGTCAACAAATCTACATTTAAAACAACTTGCAGAAAGATCCCGAAAAACTGTAAACTCCATTGTTAAACAAGATCTTCCACCGATAGAAAGGAATTTAGAACAAATTGAAAAACAATCACGTAAACTTGCTGACAAAGTTGTAAGACCTGGAGAAATTGCAGAAAGAAAAGCGTAATACATATATATATTTCATTTTCTTTATAATTTAATTGTTTCTTTTATCAAGCAATATTACTCACATCCATTTAGTCCTTATTTTTTGGCTAGCATTGGAATTGATGGCGATAAATTATCACAAGAGATAAAAAGCATTAATGTATTTGATGCTTTTGAACCGCGAGTTATTTTATCTGATACTGATATTGAAGTGGGTTTATTGATTTAATTTAATCTATTTTTAACTATCGATTAAATATCATTAATATTGTCATAATGATAAAATTATCACTATTAAAGAAATTCCTTGATCTCAAAAATCAACAAGCCATCACTACATTAATAAAAGATGGATATACACAAGTATTTTCTTGTTCCCTTTTTTTTAAAAAAAAGATTCGATATTACATTTATATAATGGTAGTCATTTTTCCAAAGAATTAAAAATATTTTATTGATAAAATTTAGGCAATAGATGATTATAATACACTTTATGACCAAAATCTTATTAAAGAGTGGGACAAAACAAAAAGAAAAGTTTTCGAAGAACTCGGGCAATTCAATTCACCGAAATCAAATACTTTCAATTTAGATTATGGTATTAGTAATATGTCAATTTCAAATCAAATAGTGAGTAGTCGACTCTTTATAATTTATACATAAGTGATTTTTTTAAACTATCTTGTTTTTACATGTAATCTTTTTTTAAAAAAATAAATAAATAAAACATAGAAACAGCCTTATACTCCTGTAACAGATCGTCAAGCTATATTAAAAACCAAATCAGCAATAAATTTAAATCAACGCCACATGGTTTGTTTTGATGTCGTTGTTAAATTAAATAACTTAAGGCTGTCGAATTATAAATATGGTTTAATTAATGAATTTCTCGAAGCGGCAAAAAAAATTTCTGCTGATCAAGTATGTAATCTTTATCACACATACATAAGTATATTCTTAATTTGATTATTTAAGAAACCTTCATTTTATATTTATGCATATTAGAATAAAAATTTTTTTGATTGTTGGCGAGCACTTTTATTTATTGTTGGGGAACATAATGTCATTGAAGGAAGATTCACACGAAACTCTTTAAGTCAACATCATTTTTCTCAAGCATATGAAGCACCACCTCAAGATCTCGCACATAAAAAATTATCAATGGCTTTTGTGAATGGCGCTAGACAATATTTGGAAGAAATGTATCCAAATAATTGATTTTTTATGTTATTTTTTATGACTATATATATATGCATATATATGTACATATTTATCTATCCAAGTCCTTAATGATTGTCACGAAAATTGGGGTAGGTATCGTATTTGGGCAAGGAATCTAATAGATTCTTTTCGAAACGAGGCAACAGTAGGAGGTCAACCATCAGCAATTGCCATTTCACTTGGGGTTTTGCGCGTTATTCATCGGCCAAATGGTGGTATTCCGACACATAATCTTGAGGTTTTATATCTAATTTAATGAAATATGGATTTATATAATAAAAATTTATAATTGATATGTATTTTGTACTTTTGTATTTATAATTTAGCTTGCAGAAGATAATATTCCTATATGGGGTTTAATATATGTTCTTATCAGACAAGGTTATTATAATGAAGCTATGGAAGTAATGGAAAAATTCGCAAAAAATTTTTTAGCTGAAGATTTAACTTTTTTAACAAACTTCAAACAATTTATTTCAAACGACAATAGGTTGGTTTTTTTCCTTTAATATAATCTAATATTTTAGCTACTAAACCAGTTAATAAAAATTTTTTTGATGATATTTTTTAGTCTTCCATCAATTGAAAGACAAAAATTTATTGCAGAAATAAAACTCAAAACAAAATTGATAGTCCAATCTCAAGATCCCTACAAATCATTAATATATCAAATAGTAGCACAATTGGAAGAATTACCTCAGAAACCACAAACTCACACAGTTTCTCCTTCAACAGAAGACTTTATGTGGTTAAGGGTGATTTATTAATGACTGGCCGATTGATTGATTGATTTTATTAATTTTTTTATATTTATTTACTTACTAAATAATTTCTCAAATATTATCGTTATTGTTATTAGTTGGGCTGTATTAGAGAAATTGAATCAATTCATGGTGGTGTAAATGACGTAGTGACACTAAGTAGTTTTCAGAATGAAATTTTAAGCTTTGGCCCTAAACATTTTACTTCAAATGGAAGAAATCCTATAAAATATTTTTATGCTTTATTACTTTCACTCCAATTTGAAAGGGTAAAGAAAATTTTTTCTTTCATTTTCTTTATTAATTATTTTGCATGAATTTGATTTAATATATTTACATATATAGGCACTTGATTATTTATGTCAAACAGAATATGTTGTAGAAGCTGTACATTTTGCTATTGCTCTAGCCTATTATGGATTATTAAGAATTCCAGAAGATGGAGAGGCATTATCATTATGTACGCCTTGACTTATTTTTTTTTTTAAAAAAATACTAATTGATTTTACTAAAAAAATTTTATTTAATATTGTTTAAATCAGTTTTTGAAAAGAAAGAAAGTGTCAATCATGTAGTGACTAAATTTAATTTCAATATGCTTATTATTCAATACGTCCATACGTTGATTAGAGATTACGACAATGTTGCAATTCATGCATTTCATTATTTACTTTTGTTATATTTGTACGGTTATCCTAATAATGATCGCGGAAGATATCAAATAGAAATAAGTCATGATCAAATGAGAAATCTTGTATTTGTAACAAATTCTGTTGGTGAACTTATTGGCGATGCACAACAAAAAGAGGTATTTGATTTATATTAAAATTATTATTAATTATCATTAATGATTTGAAATTTAAAATATTTATTATGAAAAAATAAAAGGGTCTTATGAAAAAATTTATGAAGTTAATGTTTATAAGAAATGAGGGAGAATTTAAAGAGAAAATTATCAATATACTTGCTAAACAATTTTATGATGATGGAAAGTATAATTCTGCAAGACGTTTACATGAAATAACCGAGGTATATTAATATATGTACGTACCTAAAATTTTAAAATTTAAATATTAAAATTTTTTTTTTATATTTCATAGAATTATGAGGAATGTGTAATATTACTCAACAAAATGCTTGCAGAGTATATATGGATTAGCATATGTAGATTGACGTTACAATCAGATACATCAATTCAACTTAATCCTAAAGAAATTGCTAGAATATCTAAAGAATATGATCAAAAGCAATATACCAAAAATGTTTCACCCAATCTTATAAATGATAATAAAACATTACTTAAATTGGTCGATTTTGTAGAGTATTATAAAAAGCATGACTATGAAAGTGCCTTATCCGTAAGTTTTTTCCCACTCTTTTTTTTTTTTAAAAAAAAAGGTAGTAATCTTTTTTTTATACTGATATTTTATTATATATTTATTTGTATAAAGTGTATTAAAATTCTTGATCTTTTCCCATTTGAAGATGATATTAATATAATCAAGCAAAAGGCAATTGAAATTGATGGCATAGATGAATCATTGAAAAAGTCTATTGCTGAACTTTTATACACAACCATGAAATGTATATTTCATCGTCAACAATATTTAAAAGATCAATTGTTTCATGGAACACCAGGAGCAAAAACTATTTATGGAGATGTAAGTAACGTTTACGAAACTATAACAGTGATGATAATTATTGTTATTTCTTTAATGTTAATGATATTTTTCAAAACTTTATAATAGGAATTAAGCGAACTTCAGAGGAATGCTAAAACTATTATTACTTTTGCAGGATATGTGTCAAATAGGTAAAAAAGTTATATTATTAATTAAAAGAGATTTTTTTCATTATTAACTAATATTTTCATTTCACTGCCTATATAGTGTGGTGATGTCTGACATTTATTATAAATTAAATGAATTAGAAGTGCAGATGAGATAATATATTAATTTCATTTTTCAGAAATCACTTGCCTGTAAAAATTCCTCGGAATGCACATTATTATTCATTGTGGTGTCCATTAACTTTGTAAATGTTAACTAAAAAAATTACAAAATAATGAAAATTAATTATTCATTTCTTACATCCCCAAAATAATTGTCTTACAATGTAACCAGCTAAAATAATTGCATACATAGCCCGAGTAGTGATAATACCAAGGCCATGCGGAAATGAAATTTAAGAAAACAAGTCTAATCCTTGCCTTGTCATTCAAATGGTAGTATACAATAACTAGATTTAGCAATGGTTAATTAAGGATAGAGTGTAGTCATGTGATTTTATATAATGATCGGCGAGGATAAATAATTCCCTCTTGCTTCATACGCAGCTACACCAAAAACTAGTTTTCGTGAGACGAAAAAAACTTGTAAAGTTGGAGAAATTTTGCTAATCACTAATAAAACATATAAAATTTTCTATAATGTATTAATAAAAATAAATAGAAATAATAAATTTTAAGTGAATAATAACCATATTATTAAATACCAAAAGAAAATTGCCCGTTTTTAATCAAGGTACGTGTAAGTGATATTAGTTTTACTCATGTAATTTGGATCATTAAAAACATTTAAAAATAGAATTTTTTGAAAACAACTATATAGATGAGTTGAGGGATGGTAATAGAAGTCAACAACAAGATAGCAATATGTCTCCACCTATTCTACATATACTATTTGTTCTATATATATTACTAATAAACTAATTAATATAATTAACTAACATCATAATTTATTTATAAATAAGGAACATGAGAAATCATTTTAATGAACCTTCCGTCCATATATGTGCCTTTTTTCATTATAAATACTAAGATGTTCGTTATATAGAGAGAAATTAATTAAAAGGGAGGTTCATTATAGAGATTTTACTTAGTGTTCGTTATAGAAAGAGTGAACTGTAGCTTGTTTATTTATTTTTTTTGCTTAAGAATCTTGACCAATGTTCCTTATTCATATTCATTAAGGCTGATGATGACGTTCCCGCTAGAATATATTTTTCTTTACCAATTTTTTCAATGATTGTTTTCGATCTTATTAAAACATTAATGACTTTACGAATTTGTTTGACTTCTATTGTTGGGCCCTCGAATATTTGGTGGTATCCAAATTCTTTTATGACACTTGAAAAATTTTCAATTTTGAATTTTTTGACTTTACCATTTTGTTTTGTATTTTATTGACACTTCCGAATTTTTGATAGATTTTAATGGTACGACAAGGTGGTTATGGTAATACATTGTTAAATTGTAAAGCGCTTTTGGGCGATTTTTCCTGCTTCCTCCGTACCCTATATTAAATTAAATAAAAGATCAAAAAACATTTTTTGTTTTTATTTAATATATTGATATTACATTGACTGTAAAGTTTCATAAATTCTTTTGCTCTTTTTTTGATTGCTGAGCTATAGTCATTGTTTTCATTCGATTCAAAGAGCAGAGTTTCTTCAGCATCACTATCTATATCCATGCTATTTAGATTTTCATCATCTGTATTATTGTTATCGCCAGAATCTGGATCATGATCTACTAATAACAAATTTTCATTAATGGATGGTGCGGAAGAAGAAGAAGAAGATTCGTTAAGTAATGATTCGTTGTGTTCATTGTTATTTTCTTTAAGATTTTTCAAAAATAGGACTTCACGTGATTTTGGTTTTCTTACTGCCAAATTTAGATACGATAGTCAAAATCTGGTCTAAATTTGATAATATTTTTCCTAAATTTAGAAATGATCATAGTAAAGTACATGTTTTAAAAAAGAATAGAACTCTACAACAAATAATTTTTGAGAAAATCTCTCTATTACATTGAAACTAAAGACATATTCTATCAACTAATAGAGCTATTTTTTTAAAAGGTAGGACAGAAAGTGACTTCTATACTTTTAAAATTCGCCTAAAATTTAGGAGGTCTTTAGACCAAGCCAACTATACTAATTTAGAAAGTACTGTATATCTCAAAAAAAGTACCCTTCTGTATTTAGGTACTCCCATGTGTGTGTATATATGTGTGTGTTATATATATTATTTCTTTACCTGTCTATATAATCTAGTTTTGATTTTCTTTGAGGATTACCTTTCAAGATTAATAAATATAATTTTTTTTTTGTATAAAATTATGTTTATAAAATTGAAAAAATCGGTACATATTGAAATCCTTCGAAATCAATGATCTCCCTTGATCTTTTTTGTCCAAGCCTTTTAACTAATGAAAAGTATATTCAAGCAAAACATCATCATTTACAAGTAGTTTTTAATCACTTGTGTTATAACCAGCCTTTTCTATTTTAAAACTTGAAAATACGCTGTTGCACAGCATGAAAAAGATATGCATTCAATTTTGTCACTATGCGATAAACGAATGTCCATTATGCTGGAGACAGTCCCATGTGACATTACATAGATTTGTTGATCTACCCAGCATGACACCCTCCAATGCCCATATAAGTGTAAGCATAATAATAACTGTTTAAAGCATTCCCTATCAACAAGGCAATTATCTTAATACACCTCGCAACCAAATCAGGTATATATATACTACGCTAATTTTGAAACGCGTAAAATAATCGATCAATTACATGAAATAGTGATAAGAGCAAGGTCACGTGTTAAATCTGGATGAACTAGTATAAAATCACATCTGAAATATAAAATAAAAATTTTCAAAAAAAATGAATCAAATTGAAGATTTAGTGAAAGAAATTACTAGTGTTGGTAACACTACAACGGATTCTTCAGACAAACTTGCCTCAAATAAAGTGAATGCTTTTGATACAGTGATTAATACAAATTCTCCAAATATTGCGAATACTATAAATACCACAGACGTTATTGATGATACAGTTTTTCAACAAAGGAATTGCAACTCAAAAGGTGTTAAAACTATATATATATATATAATGTTTCAAGCAAAAAAAAATTTTTTAACATTTTTAAATTATTATTATAGCTGAAGAAATTCATAAAAAAATTTTAAAAGAACTTGATGTAAAATTTGATCTTGAAATTTTAAGGAGACAAGCAGTGGAACAAAAGATAGAAGCAGAATTAAAAAAGGCGCAACATTTTCTATCAACTTTAAAATATTGTATTTTAGAATGTATGCTTAATATTTAAAAACTATGTCATTTGCTTTAAAAAGAAGAACTATCCATTGATTTTATTTATTTTTTAATCATTCGATTTGCAATTAAGCACCTCCTAATTATCACGAAAACTTTTCAAATTCAAACAAGGCAGCTCCTATCGAAACAAAATCAATTACACCTTCAACCCGACAATCCAAGCGTACAATTTATTCTACAAGAGATAACGATTATTATTATTATGATATATTTAGTGATTTATATTCAAGAAGAAATGATGGCATCTATGTCAGGCAGGTTTATTGTTATTACTATTATTTATTATTACTATTATTATTATTTATTTATCATTCTGTTTATTTATTTATATTTAGATTATCTTGTCCAAAATGTAATCGTTCCAAGTTTATTAACGTACAAGGATTTTTAAATCATTGTCGCAGCTATCATCAAATAGAATTTGCGAGTCATGAAGATGCACTTTTAGTCTGCGGTACTCCTGTGGTATTTATCTTACACATACACATTCGCACACATATATCTTTACAAACTTAAAAAAACTTATTTGCTTGTCAATTAGTTGGTTATTTAGTTATTCATTTCATTGATTATAGCTATTAACAATTGTGTTATATATTGTTTTAATGAAAAAAAATGGGTTTGTTATTTAATAGGATGAAGATATAATACCTTTAGATCATCCTGCTAGAACAAAAATTATCACTAGTCCATCGTCCTTACGTACAATCTACAGACACGCAAATTTATCGAATTCTTTGAAAAGGTATTTATTTTGGGAGTTTTTATTTATTGGAAAAATTTTATTATTATTTTAATTATTTTAACAATATAATTATTTATAATTAAAATCATTAACAAATTTTCTAGTGAAAATAAGGTATTTAAATTTATTTTTCATAGCCTCTGCTTAGATTATAAGAATTATCTTTGTTTTAAATAATATATAAAAATGACATATTAAATTCTTTAAAAAAATATTTTTAAATGCAAACTATTAAGAGGTTTGAAAAAGTAATAGATGTTGGATTAGATGAGATATCAAATCAAAATGACGGCTTTTATTCTAAAGGGATTACTAAATTCAGTCAAATAAAATCTCAAGGGAATAAGGTTTCCATATTTGAACAAGGAAGCTCTACTCAAAACAAAATGGCATATGAATCGTTTGACAGATCAGGACAATCACCAAACTTCAATAATGATGAAATAATTAGTTATTCCAATAATCAAGCCTTTTTGAATCTACTTAAATCATCGTCATCAAGTCTTCCAAATACAATGGATCATGATTCTGAGTTACACAACATATATTTTAGTGGTTCAACTATCTGTACTTCAACCGCATCACAACAATATTATGATGCACTAAACTCATCAAATAATTACACTATGTTAAATGAAAACCATAATCCAACAAAAGAAGAAAATAAAAGAAATTTGAATGTAATAAAAACATCATTTAGACTAATTAAGTATTGTAATAGTTGTGGAAATCCAGAATCTTGGCATGAATCCGTACAAAACGCTAAATTAGAAACCATGTCGCTACCGACATACAAGTGTAGACGAAGACCGCCTTTTCTAAAAACCAAAAAGAGAAAGTTATGTAGCTTAACATCAGCAAAAGATATTTTAAATGAATTAGATGCTGTAATCGATAACAGTAAGTTCTTTTCTCAGAATAAAAAATAATAATCTCATTATATATTTTTGAATAATCAAAATAAAAATTCCATTTTATACATAAAGCTACTATTATGGATATTGATAATAACAAAACTAATAATCAGGATGTTGACTTACATGATTGGTATATGTTTGATAATTTACTTGATCCTCAAGGGATTGATTGGGTATGGTTAGTTATTGATCATTTGAAATTGAATAGTGTTTTAGCAACGAAATTTTTGTATTCACAGGATGGTAAGATTGAATTTATGAGTAATGATATTCATGATGGTATAACTCAAAGATTGGAATCTGGCAATTTAATATTTCAGGTATTAATAAAATTTTAAGGGGGTTTTTTTGAAAAAAAATCTTAACTTTTAAAATCACTCATTTTTACCAATACTTACAATTTAATCAATTAATTAATAGCTGACAAAAGTATTCTTAAAAGATTTAATTAACAAAACCCTAAATATTTATATGAGGGAAAAGAAAGATGAACTGCAAAACTATATAGAAAATAATGTTTCGTTGGACTTGAGTAGTATAAATATTTCTAAATTTGTTAATAAGATCATTGTTCCTTATCATGTTCATCAGGCTGTGCAAGAAAATCCAGACCCTTTCGACTTTTTAAACGGTGAAGGATTTGCATCAGATAAGCCGAGATAGATGTATTTTGCTTGAATAAATCTGAAAATCAGCGAAACTTTTTCAAGTTTTAATAATTAAAAAACAACAATTTTCTTTTATTTATTTTAGAACTATAATATTTTGTAATTTTTTATCATCCTGCTTGCAAATGAAAAATCCACATTATTTTTCGTATAACCAATTAAATTAAATTTTAAATTGTGGGGTGGATACACGCGTTTTCCAAAAAGAAGATCGTTTTATAAAGTTTACCCATGTCACACACACATACACACATTTATTAAAAAAGAGTTCTCTTACAGTTTCAAAATTTAAAAAATTTTTCCTTGATATACATTTTAAAAAAGTTCATTATGTCAAAACCAAGAGATGTTTTATTTAAGGAAGCTAATCTGGAATTGATCATTCCCAATGCTATTATTGAATCCTTAGAGGAAAAGTTTGAAAATATTTACAATTCAAAACCAAGAATTCAAACATATTATGGTAAGAGTAGTTTTAAAGAAAATTAATGAGAAAATTCTAAATAATTAATAATTAATAATTATTACTATAATTTAAAAATTTGTTTTATTTTAGATGAATTATTAGATTTTCTAATAATAGTAACTTTGCCAATTGACGCTGGTTTTAAAACTAAATCAGAAGCATTAGAATATTTTCAAGAGATGGACGTTTTACTTGAAGCTTCAATTATAGACTCGAGTACTTTATCAGCTCCTGTTCCAAATCCACCAGCAGTGTATCGATTGCCGCCTAACAAATCAAATTCTAATTCAAATGCAACATCTCCCTCAGCTCCTGGTACTCCCTTACCTCCACCAATGGACAAAAAAGTTAATAAGCCTTATGAAGGCGCAATAATATACTCTGGGCAATATAATTTAAAATCCAAGGATTATAAATTTTTGGTAATTAAAAGAAATGATTGCTGGACCTGTATTTTACCATTGACGATTCCTGTAGGTAAGATGAATTAACTGGGATATTTTGACTTTATTTTTTTTATAATAGTAAATAGTAATTTTGAAATTTGAAATTTATTATCTTTATATTTTTTTTTTTGGAAACAAATTTAATTTAGCCTATGTGAAGACACGGGCTCAATCACCAGCAGTAGCTCTTAATTTAGCTTTAATACTAAAACCGGATTCGTTTACAAAAGAAACAGGAAAAGGTTTAGATGGAAATTTAAGTCCTATAGAAAATTTTGAAATGATTAATCTATTTTCGGGCTTAATAGATGGTTAGAAATCATTAAAAAAAAGAGTTATTCGAAAATTCTTTTAATTGATTTATTGTTTTTATTAAAAATTTGTTTATTTATCTAATCAAAGACCCGTCATTTGAAGCTTCACATAAAGATTTATCGATTCCTATTTCTAAACTATATTATAATGAACCAAAATTAAATGGTACAAATCAATCATCTTCAGCATCTCAACACTTGAGGCGTAATATAAGAAAGGTTTTGGCTGTTAAATCTGCATTAAATGTACGAATGAGAACTACAAGCGTTTCACCGTTAGATAACACATTAATGATGTCTGTTGAGCTAGATAATAATACTGATGCAAGAAGTGGATTCTTGGTTGAAAGTGTCCAAGTAAACATTACCCAAGGATATGTTAGCAGATTTAAAACAGGATTGAATGATGATAAAGTGACTATTTACTTAATTATTTCATATTTTATATCAATTTTTTTAATTTATATTTTTTTTTTTTAATTAATACTTTATTGAAAAAAATTTATGTATTTATGTATGTATGTATATAGAATGATTTCCCATTTTTATTACATCCTGTCGACCAACTGACATTTCTCTATAGCATCACGATTCTTGATGATCAAAGTTTTCCAAAGTTTTCGCCACAATATTGCCCTGCACCTAATCCTCGAACTTCTTCGCATTCTCGAAATAATTCGGTAGCTTCTGTTTATTCGAATTCATCTTCCAATTATCAACCTGTTGAAGAACCACAACCATGTCATGTCTCAATTTTTGTTAAAGGGTCGCCGATTATTGATAGTGTAAAAAGTAAAAGTATAGAGTCTAGATGGAATTGTACATTAGATTTATCAAATATGAAAAGACAGGATCATAACCCTGTACCACCAACTCAAACGCCAAATTATCAGTACCAAAGAAAGATGTCAATGAATTCAAAAGTTGGACAAATAATGTCACCAAATTCAACAAAAAGTGCAACAATATTTTCACCACCTGGATCAGTGACACCAACAACTCTAAAAACATTTTATTCGGGAATGGAACCTACAAATGCTCATAATAAAAATAATAAGAGTACTTCAGACACGGATTCAATGAATATTAATTATGGTGCAAGAACCTCCTCAATAGCAAAATCAATGGAAATGGATGTAGGAAATGGTGTAATAGTTTCATTTTTGGGTATTTATATTTTATTTTTACATATATATATGCTATTAATATATTGTTTATATTTTATTTTTTATTTTTATTTATATTATTATTTTTTTCCCTTCCTACAGTGACCTCTAAAGCTGTTGTAGGAAAGACATTCACAATACACGTATTTATAGTTAACAGGTCAAATCATGTTAGAAGATTTAATATTATGATTCCAAACAAAAAAAGATCTAACGAAGTGTAAGATATTTAAATTAATAATTATTTTGAGATTATTTAAAGATTTTATTTAATATTCCATAAATATATATTAATTATAATAGCGTGACAAGATCATTTTCTCCAAAAATAGCCAAAATTGCAAATTCATCTGAAACTTTAATGAATGGTAATAATGTGAATGGCGATAATGTAAATGGTCAAATTGAAGCATACATGGAAGAATCAGGTTAGAATTAAAAACTTTAATTTAATTTCGAACCAAAATTTATTTTAATGATTATTATTATTATTATTATTATTATTATTATTATTTAGAATTTATAAAAAGATATTTACAGTCAGAAACACCTGATGCTGATATTGTTTGTTTAGAAAATAATGTTAAAATTGGGTATATATATTTTTTTTTTCATTATAAAATATTGTAAAAAAAAGCTTTTTTAATTATTTCATTTTAATGAGTGTTTTTTTTTTAGACCACTTAATCCTTCAACGTGTGAATCTGTTACATTACATTTTATTGCAATTAAAGAGAAATTACACACTGTCGAACTTGTACAGCTTGTAGACATTGACACAGGATTTATAAAAAATCTTCGTAATGTGTTGGAAGTTTATGTAGCAAAGCCTACAAATATCGCAAAAAGAGAAAAACGAGATAGTGGCATAGTTACCAATACAGAATTACCAGCTAAAGAATAACAAACTTTTTTTTACCTAGTAATTTTAATTAATAGTATATATATACACACACACACACACACACACACATTGTAAATAACTATTGAATTAATTCGTTTTAATTTATTTACATCAAGTCAATTTGTATACAATTAATTTATTATGACAAAAGTATTCAGCATAAAATTGGAAAGCAATCGTGACGATTGTTTTTTAATTCTCTAAAAACATATGGTTCCACAATGTTAAATAATTCCAGGCCAGCATGATGGAAGTTTGATTTTATTGGATATAAAATGTGACAAAATAAAATTTAGATTTTTACCGAAATTAGAAATTTTAGGGA